CACCGCGCCCGGCACGGCCACCGCAGCAGCCTCGTCGGCCTGCAGGCGGCCTGCAGGGGCTACCTGGCGCGGCAAAGGTAACGTGTGGCGCGCGGCGAGCGGGGTTTAGTGGCGTGAATTCCAGGCCCCCTCAGGGCCCTTCTTGGGATTCCCGAGGCCGTCGCGACCTGCCCCGATCCTCCGCTGGGCGGCGCTCCCTAAGCCAGTTCAGCACGTGCTGCTCTTAGACTAAGCGGAGCCTATTTCAGGTTAGGGCACGTAGGCAGGGGAGAGCTGAGGATATAAATACTCAGGAGGGTTTTTTTCCCCCCCCTTGGCAGCAATGGCAGTTTAAGTAGCTTATTTTTAACTCGGATCGGCTCAGCGAGCTGGCCGACGCCAGGCGGGCGAGCAGCAGCGAGAGCGGCCCGAGCCCCGGCCGCTGCTGGGGGGACAGCGTTTGCGGGATGGCCCCGCCACGCTGGGCTCGATTCCCGTGGGGAAGGGCCCTGTTCGTCGCGGGGAAGCACGGCCTGCGTGGTGGGGAGTGATTGCCATGGGGCAAACGGCTGGGAAGCCAGGAAGAGCTTAGGATGGTGCTGGAGCACCTTCTGGTTGCACTCCTGTCAGCGCCGTGGTGAAGATCAGCCTTGGACAGCCAAGGCGTGACGAGTCCCAGCAGCATGGGAGAAGCTTTTGGGGGTGCTGGTGCGGTCCTTGACTAGGAGAGATGTCAGAAGAGAAGACTGGAAATTGGCTTTGGGTCCCTGACATGTGCACACACTATCTCACACCTGGCATCCAGCAAGAAGTGTTGCCCGAGTTACCTGTGGTGACGAGATGGTGAGACCCCAAAACCTGCGCTGATGAGGTGCCACCAGCGCAGTGCCTTGAGGCAGCGTGATAGGGTATAGTAACTTACTTATTTTATTTTTTCCCTGCAGGTACAGAGCTTTAAAAGAGCAGAGATTGAAAGAGAGACAGCTGGAGAACGGCCTGATAATTCGGGAAGAGTCCGATGGACTGGAGGCGAATGATGCTTTGGAAATTAAGGGCTCCGACCCATCTAAGTGGGAGGATGGCTCCTTTGAAGAGAGAGTGAGGGCTATAGAGGAACATAAGTCGCTGATGGAGAATAATCGGCTGAATCATGCAGACCTCTTGGATAATACTGGAAGTTTGTTACACAAAAGGCATGAGAGAGCCAGTAGCCAGGGCGGGATGGACACTGAGGAGGAAGTAGTCGTGAGGGAGAGACCCAAGTCGTTGGAGGATCTCAACCAGAAAAAAGTGGTTCGTGCCAAAAGAGAAAGCCGGAGAATGCGGGAATTGGAACAGGCAAAATTTAGCTTGGAATTGCTTAAGGTCCGGTCCACAGGCGGGCTGTCGCCTTCGGAAGAGCGCCGGTGGTCCTCAGAGCTTGTAGCTGAAGCACTTCATTCCCCTCAGGGAACCCCGGAGAGTGAAAGCTCTCAAGGGAGCTTAGAGATGTTAAGCTGTGAAGATACCCCAAGTAAACTTGTTTCCTTAGTTTTAGATGGGCCAGACGTGGCATCATTTCCCACGGGCACCCAGGACTCTCTACCTAGCACTCCCCAGCCTCACTGGCAGGACAAGTCTTTCTGCACAGCAGACGTGAACAGCAATTTATCCACTTGCAAAAGGAGGCCGTCAGACTCGGAGCTACCCAACAGCCACGCTTCTAAGGAGCGCGAGGTCTCTGATCCCCAAAACGTTATCTACAAGATGCAGCCAAGAGAAACCTTCCTTTCCAGTAACCTACCAACCTTCTACATCCCACCCCAGGACAATTTGAAAGCAAAGCAGTCATTGCTGGAGAATAACCTGAGGAACAAACCAGTTGAAAGAGAAGAGAAAACGGTGACATTCCCTGAGATCTTGAAGGACTCTGAGTCTGACAAGCAAGACCGGAGCAAAAGCTTGGGCAGGGAGGTAGGGGAAAAGACTCCTACCAAGAAAGAGGAGCATGGGACAGGTATTGGGACACAGACCCATTCGCCAGATTCGGTAATCAAGAGACTGGAAAGGCTCAATGTGGAGAAGGAGGAACGACAAAAGCAGCTTCAGCTGCAGAATGAGAAGGAGATGATGGAGCAGATCCGCCAGCAGAAAGAAATTCTGGAGAGGCAGCGCAAAGCCTTTGAGCAGCTTGAGAAGCAAGGCAGGATGGAAGCTTTGCAGAGGCTCGAGGTGAGCAGAATCAAGGACCCATCTCTCAAACCACCCAAACGAGCAGAGAGCCGCCCTCAGTCTGTCCTCATCCTGCACCCCCCGAGCAGAGGGGAGCCCGGCTTCCCCGCGGGATTACCTCCATCCTCCTCGGTCGATATTAAAGGTCTCACTGTTGGGAACAGAGGCACCTCTCCGGCCCACAGCGCTTCCAAAGACAGACCTGTCAGCATGTTCATGGAGCGAAAGGAAGGTCAGTCCGGCACGGCGCTCGAGGCCACCCGTGTGGAGCGGCCCAGCTCCAAACTGCCTCCGGACTCCAGGGATTTCCCGGGCAGCCCCTTTTCCCGAACGGAGCGCCTGAGGCAGCCCCGGATGCCCAGCCAGGCCGCTGATGACATGAGGGCAAGCGCTATGTTTTTCACACCAAAAGACCCTCCCTTCGGCCTCCAGTGAGTAAAAGATGTGCTTTCTTTATAGCCATAGTCACATAAACCCATCTCTAACAATGTCTTTTCCATACAAAAATACCTCTGGAAATGAAGCCCTGTGTCAGGTTTGCTGGCCTCAGATCAATGGGGAAGAAGAAAATGTCCAGGACCTGGAAATACTCCTCCTAGTTTTCTAATGTGCTGAGTGCTAGGGAAACGAGGGGAGGTGATCATAGATACTAGCAAGTGAAGGGTGGTGATGGCAGTAGAGATGACACTATTTTCATGGGATTTCAGGGATTTCATGGGATTTTCAGGGATTTCTTTTTTCGAGTAGAAGATGAAGAGAAGATTATTGGGATCTTTGGGTGGTGAGAATAGCTATCTGAAGAGAAATTCCTCCTCTTCACATTAGAATGAGCATAGCCACAATGACCACTCGAGATGATCTTACCTTGCTGAGGAGAAAAACAACCGTTTTCTAGAGGTTGGTGCCATGCCGGGAAGGCCAATGCCTCCCTTGTGCTGTTTTCCAGGAGGGAAGCGAGCCCACAGTGCCTTCCCAAGGGAGAACTGGCCAGGAAGCCATTCAAGATACCGGGGTCTGGCCGAGGAGAGGTAAGCAGTGGCTTTCCCATTTTCTCTTTTGAATTGAAAGGGGGCAGGGGCGAAAAGATATAAAAATAATTTTAAACCCCCAACTCTAAGCCCTTATTCTGGTAGTTTGCCCTTAAATGCTTCAGAGACGAGAATTGTGAAGCACAAATGCTGCTAAGCGCAGGGTGTTTGAGCCGAGGTTGAGGCAAGGGTATAGCAACTGAAACACCTTTGCTAGAAAAAAATTGCTGCCCATGCAGGATTAATTCACAGCAGTGCAGAATTGCTCTTAGTTTAAAAAGAAAACAAAACTACACAACAACAGAAAAAGAGTGTTGCGATCCCGATGGCAAACACTGTAGACCTCACTCTTGTCTCGTTCTGATTTACCGTGTGTCCTGGTAACATCCATTATTGTCCATTTTCCTCAGTGCTGTCTTGGCTTTTGTTTTTCCCCCCCCAATCCTCCGCATCCACTAAATGTAATAGAGAGTGTCGCTGTCTGCGGGATGCAGCGTGACCCAGGGATGCCGTTATTTGTCCTCTTCTGTGATGCCAAACCCTCATAGACGTTCCTTTTATTTTAAAAACATTTTGTTTTCTTTTTTTCTTTTTTTTTTTTTTTTTTGTTATCTGTTTTATCATTTGGTCAAGCAGGTTGCCAGACCGACCCATAAAAAGAAAGCCCGCATGGCGCGGACGCGCTCCGATTTCTTGACTAGAGGTACTTGTGCTGATGGGGAGGGGGATACGGAGGAAGATGATTACGATGCCAGTTTTGAGTTCCTTCTCTCCTCTGAGCAACCTCCTCATGCTGAGCCAGGGCCTGCAGCCAGGCTGGGGCAGGCCTGTTACAGTGACTCCGAAATGGTAATTTTCCAATGGGTCGGGGTTGGAAGAAACAAGGAAAAAGGGAGCAGGCGGCCAGGCGGGAGCCTTTCTTTGCTAACCTTAGCTGCACTCACCCCCTACACTGCTGCTTCTCCCACCTGCAAGGCCCCTGTAGCCGGGTATCCTCGGAGAACACAGCAGAAGCAAATGCCAAACGTGAGGAGAAGTCGCTCGTATTTCTCCGGGCTGAGGGGATGCGATTTGGGAACAGCTTCCAGGGCCTGTGAAGCTCTTCTGCAGCATGCATTGCATTGCATTGCACAGCTGCTTATATGTTTTAGTATTCTTTTAAACCACACTCACATCAGTAGCAAATTCCCACTAGTATCTTCTAGCAGGAGGCTCTGTGCTAATAGGAAAGAGCGAACGTTAGAGACCAAAAAGCCACCAAGAAAATGAGATGAATCTCTGCCCCCCAGCTAGCTTTTGATTCAGTGTCCTCTGCAGCAGTATCTGATGGCTTATTCAGGTTTTTGGAGTGGTGCTGGTAAATGATAACTTGTAGAACACAAAAGCAGGTAAATTGGGCAATAAAATGCAGAGGTAGTTTTTCCCTGCTTTGGGCAAGAAGTAAGCTCAGGCACAGGCGTGCCCGCAGGAGCAGAGCCTCGCGCTCTGCACCGTCGCCCTGCACTTGAGCCACGTCTCTGAGGGCGCCAGGAAGAACACAAATTAGGCTGTGCCCACAGCAGCAGAACTCAAAGCCCTACATGAAAATGGAAAAGCAAATTCTGGGCAAGGCGGGAGCGGGGAGCCCAGTCGGCAGCGGTAGCTCTGTGAGCGCCGGGGCGCTTGCCAGGGGGCTCTCCCCTCCGCAGCCAGCCGTTCCGACGGAACGCTGATGCCGACGTTCCCTCCGGAAAATGGATGCAGCCGGGCTCGCGGGGAGTGCAGGGCCCTGCTGTGTTCCTGGAGACTTACCCTCTTGCAAAGCAGTAGCTCTAGCTGCAGAGGTCTTTCCCCTCCGTGCTGGCCCTCTCCGGGGCTGGGCGCGCTCAGCCGAGACCTTCCCTCCCCACGCTCCGCCGGGATTAACAGCTCTCACCGCGTGCACATCCCAGTCGCAGGTGCCGGCCGTGTCTGCCCTCTCCTGCTGTCTCCCTGTCTGCATCGCTCACTGTGACCGGGGTCGCCCTGCAGCCCTGCCCCGCGCCGCGGCCGTGTTGTCTGTCCGTGTGTCTGCAGCACCGTGTACAGTGTTTCCATCCGTATTCCCTGCATAGCACCCTGGGGCCAGCAGAGGCTGGCGAGGGTCCTCCGTGCGAGGACCAGCACGTCCCTAAGGCAGAGCGGCTCCAGCAGTGAAAACGCAGCAGCTGCTCCATCGCCAGGGGTAGCAGAGCCTGGTGGGATGTTGCGGATCGGGAAGCAGCCGAGATAGCGGAATGGAGCAGCCCTGCTGTGTGTTGGGCCAGCCGGAGCGGGTGAACTTGTGCTACTAATGCCCGTGGCATGACTGGTGAGGCAGCCTCCACGTGCTGTCATTTTAGTGAGCAGCTGCTTCATCTTGCTCCTGCCCCGGCTTCTCCTTCCCCAAAGGCCTCTTGCCAGGTGGCTCGGTGGCCGCAGGCTGCTGGACACATGATAGAGAGACCACGGGTCACCACGGGTGAAGTTAAGCATGAAGTTAAGACTTGCCAGCTCTACTGGCATGAGCTCACCTGTCTTGCCCAGGGGTCTCTTGAGCCTCGAGCTTGTGGCTTTGTATCCCCAGGGTAAGTAGAGGTCCACCAGAGCACGATGGTCCAAGAGCAGCAAGGGCTGGGGAGCATTTTTGGCCAGAACCCAAATCCAGGGTGTTTGCGGTCAGAGAAGTCCCTCCCAGGCTATGTTCAGCACGCGTTAATGCTGCTTCCACTTTTCACCCAAGTGTGGAGAGATAAATAGGTGACTTTGGTTCAGGAGACCACAGCTATGGTGTCTTCTGAAGCATTTAGATCTCCTTCGGCAGAGGAGCCCTTGGAGAGGGCGACGCGGGTAGCGACGCTGTCCGTGTATTTTGCTCCCGAGCTGTGAATTCCCAAGTGCCAGTCTGAGCGTCCCTGCAACTTGTCACCAGCCGATGCCAAGCGTGCCTGAAGAGCCAGCTGTGCAGAAGAGCTGCAGCCCTAAGCGCCTCTTCAGGGCGAGTTTTGCACCTCAGGAAGCCCTTGGAGGCTTCACTTCTTCATCTCCAAACCTAGAGAGGCCCCTCTGATAGCGGAGGGAGTGTTGGGCTGCAGTGGCTCGAAAGGAGGGCCGAGCAGAGACACTCGCAGGAGTGATGATAAGAGAGTTCCAGGATCTTATGGTGGAGGCTGAACCCTTTGATTAAGCCGACTCAAAGCAAGTTTCACCCCCCTACAAATAGCAGAGAGAGGCTAAATTTAAGAAGTCATCTTAATGATGAGGCCATATGCCTCTTCCTGGTTCTCTCTGCTGTATTTTTGCTTTCTGAAAGATCTTTTCCTTAGCAGAACTAGTTTTTTCTTTCTCTATCAAGAGCTACGTTCCCATGTCTCACAGTCGAGAAGAGGCCCCTCTGGGAAGAAGAGCCACCTTGCTAATCAAGGTCCATTACACCACTTTGTTGCGTGTGTCTCTAGTTGCCTGCATTTTTATTATTATTTATATTATTATTATTTATTATTTATTATTTATTTTTTATTTTTTATTTTTTATTTAAAGAAAGTAGTAATTTTTCTCCCCTTTGTCCATATACAATCCATGCATTACCGTTCCCTAACTGCAGTAACTACAGGGACAGCAAATCCATCCCTGTTTCTTTTGCCTTATGTGCTGCCATCTCCTGGCTGCTTGAGAAGTTATTGCATGAGTGGAAAACGTTTTAAAAAAAAAATAAAGGCGAGCATGAGCAGTATATGGTAAACACAATGACCCTGCAAGCCGTATTTTGTAGAATTTTGACTTCTTTTTAATGCAAAGTCCACCAAAAGAGCTCAAGCAGAGGCAGATTTGTCAAGGATGTGCTGGTATGGTTGAGGGTATCTCACACTGAGAGCTGGAAATGCCCCAGGTGGCTTTATCATGGGTAACATCACTCTTCTAAGAAGGAGAGTAGGGCTGCTGCGAACTCGTGGCCTGGGGCATGTGAATTTTGATCTTCTGTTGCCAAAGGAGTAAGAAGGTTGGACCTTGAGGTGGAAGATGGAAGTTCAATAAGGTGGGTGCTTGGAAAAGCTGCACAGGACCTTAGGTTTTCATTGGTAGGCAGGTTGAATCTGGACGTGCTCTTCAGTCCTGACACATGGCATGTGAGTTTTTTGCTGAGAATGTTATCCAATATGCCAAGAACTGTCCCGTTTTTATAACGGTGTCACCCTTGGAATTGTTGCAGACCGTACAGCGATTTGCATCTGCTGAAGGCCAGACAAAGCTTCATAAAACCATGTCTCAGGGGGAGATTGGGAAGTTGGCAGCTGCACAGAAGAACCTGGCTCCAGATGGGAGGTAAGGAGTAGGGATTGGAACTGGTGAACATGGAGACAAGTCCATCCCATGTTGCTTCAGATCATGTGGGCATTGATGGAGCTGCTCCAATCCCCATTTCAGTCCACCTTCAGAAGCTGCTTTGCCAGCTCAACCAGCCAGCAGCAGCAGGGAAACAATCAGTGACACGTTTCAAACATGATTGCCAACATGCCCAATTAGAAGAAGTGTCCTGTTCATACTGCAATAAAGCTTTGAGGCAGTGGGACGTATGTCCCATCCCAAATCACTTTATTAAGTGTAATTTGCAACTTCTTGTATTTTTATGAGAATAAGCATCCTGCTTTCCTTGTTAGCACTGGTGTGAATTTAACGACCAGAAGGTCAGGGAGATTTTGCATAGAAGACCATTTTCCTTATTAAGGCAATTTCTCTTTTCATGGGTTATTTCCAGGCCTCAGCGAGCCAAGATGCGATTCTGGGTAAAGGGGAAGCAGGGGGAAAAGAAGACGCCGCGGGAGAAGCTTGCTACCCAGTCTGAGCTGCTGGAGCTCTATGCAGAGCAAGAAGCACCGAGCAGAGAGGTGGTTCCTGGCCTGCAACTCGGGGAAGGTGAGTGTAGGTCGAGCACTGGACAGGCTCGTGTGCTGTTTGCAGGACATGGACGTGGACATGGAAGGTGCAGAAAAGTTGCATTAGCTGCTTTAAAGCCAGCTGTACCTTACTTTTAACATTGGGCTTTTAAACCCAATATGTAATGACTCAGGTCAACATCAGAATTTAAGAAAATGAGGTTATCTGTAAGGTCTCGGTATATCTAAACTACAGCATCGCATGCATGGAACTCATGTATGAAAATGAGTTAGAAAACGCTGCTGAGGGTAGAGTTTGCACAAATCAAAAGGATGTGCTGGTTGGACTTTTCTGGACCAGGCGTAGTGCTGGTCAATGCATTTTCCAGTGCTTTGCCTGGTGGACTGGAGAGCGTTCTCCTTGGGTTCACAGATGACTCCAACCTCAAGGTTAGAGTTAGGAGGTTAGTAAAAGTGGTCTTAATAAAGCTAAAAAAAATCTTAAATTATGCAATTAAGTGCAATATTATTGAAAACAACAACAAAAATCCAAATTATTTTACAGTTTTACAAATGGAAATTACCACTTTAGGATACGGGCCAGATTCTTTCCCTCCCAGCGAGGAGGTGCTGTGTGCTGACTATAAGTGTGGTTTCTGACTATAAGTGTGTTTGGAATTCTGTTTTCCAGGAGTGATATGATCCCCATATCGCTAATCCCCACTGCAGCCATCTGACCATCAACAGGTGTTTGCCCTCTCAACAGAGGGAAAAAACAATGGAGAAAATAAAATTTCATTTCACTGTTTATAAAAATATAGCCCTTTTCCCTTCCACAGGCTTATTTTGAAGCCTGTCTCCTTATTTTAGTGACAGAGCTGTTTTTCATACACGTTACCTTGCCGTGTTACTGTGATTACAACTCTGAGAAATTAAACTTGATTCTTCACTCATTGACCCTTGATCAAGAAGCAGATTTTGACTGCTACCAAAGAAAGGATTCTGCTTTTCTTTTAGACTTCAGGTGGTTGAGAAAACACGTTTTCTTCCCTTCCAGCTTGATGGAGCTGTCTCCACTGCTGATGGAGCTGTCTCCACTCTCGGTGTCTCCACTTAATGCTGGAGACACCGAGAAATAAAACACACGATAGAGCTTCAGTGAAGTTGGGTGCAAACACACGTTGCTATGGCATATCTGGATGGCCAGAGGAAAAGATCACTAACCTGTGCTTGGTTACCTTTTCCCTTTCTTATTTATCAACTGCAGAGTTGGGTCCTCACCACCTGACACCGCCACGGAGTCCGGAGCTGTCGGGACTTTATCGGAAGGAGTTTAAGGAGAACAAAGAGCCGTCTCCCAAAGTGAAGCGCAAGCGCAGTGTCAAGATCAGCAACGTGGCTCTGGAGCCCGTGCAGTGGCAGAACGACTCGCTGCAGATCATCACCAGCGCCAGCGACTTGAAAAGCATGGACGAGTTCCTCCTGAAAAAGGTAGGGTCTGTCAATGCAGACCAAGCAGCTCTGCCTCTCCCGTTGCTCTGAGATGCACGTGATCGCACACGAGCAACCCAGGAGGTTAGGAGAGGGAAGCCCCAGGGCAGTTCTCACATTTCTAAGTTTACAAACAGTAGCAACCACCTTGTAATAGCACAGTGGAGACTATCCTCCTCAAGTTCACCCATGATGTTGAGCTTACAGAGTGTGTTGTTTCAACCCAAGTCATAATTAGTGCATAAAACACTTTGCTTTCCCAGATGAATGAACTGGATAATGAGGACAGCAAGAAGGACACTTTGGTGGACGTCGTGTTCAAAAAGGCACTGAAGGAATTCCGGCAAAACATCTTCAGCTTCTACTCCTCGGCGCTGGCGGTAGGTAACAGCACATCAAGCAGGAGCCTTGCTGTTCGGGAGAAATGAGGTGCTCGGAGTGCCACAAAGGTGCCAGCCTTTCATTCCGGTTCTGCTTAGCCGAAATGAAAGGTGTTTCTGTGTGTTCAGTCTCATAACATTTTAAAAATACTCAGCAGTATACATTGATTGGAGGTAGCTTATTCTACTGACAGCTTGCCCCCAGTGAAATGGGAGATGACAGTAAGTCTGAAAACTCCTATTTGCCCTGCAAAGTGCCTGGAAGCTTTTGTGCTGTATTTGGGGGTAGGGGATGTCCAAGACGTGTGGAGCTCTGCTCTTCTGAATCTTCCCAGCAATCACTGAGATGATTCATTTTTCCTTCTTTTAATTGTATATGTATTTTTCCAAAGCAATTGGATGCCAGTTGTGCTAAAGCAGTTGTTCAGAGCAGAAAAGGTAGTCTGGTGTGTGTAAAAAATCCCTTTTCTTTTTGTTTCTCTTTATTTGAAGATGGATGATGGGAAGAGCATCCGGTATAAGGACCTGTATGCCTTGTTCGAGCAGATTTTGGAGAAGACCATGCGGCTTGAACAGAGAGACTGGAGTGAGTCTCCAGTTAAAGTCTGGGTCAATACCTTCAAAGTCTTTCTGGATGAATATATGATAGAGTACAAGCCCCTGGACTACACTGCTGTGAAGGTAGTTATCACTTGTTTCTTAGCCCACTGAAGAGTTGTAAACTATCTTTCCATAGGGTGGTGCTCTGCAGATACCTGGAAACCTTAGAGACTGTTGTCTTCTCTCTGCTTAGCCCCTGACCGCCAAAAAGAGGTTACATCATCTCACTTAGCAGGGCCACTGTTGCTTCATCCTGGCAACTCTCCTTGCCTTCATTCAGCAAGGAGGTCACTGGTGGGAGATGGCCCTGGGCTGCCTCACCCAGAACTTCGGCAGGATTCCCTGCGGATCCCCTTGTTGGGCCTGCGTTGGCAGTGACGTGGTGGAGAGGAGAGTCACCTTAGTGACTCTGGCGTGGGAACCCTTAGGAGCAGGTGGGGAGACTTCAGGGATGAGGTTCAAGTGAGGCTTCCAAGTGCTTGGGTGGTTCTGCGCCCTGAGCATGTCTGCGGGGACACAGCTTGTGGCTTTCAGAGCTTCTGGAGAAGGAAAGAGCTGAGCACTGAGCTGCAGAGAGGGAGTCACCCACGCTCAACCACTGCCAGCAGGTGGAGAGGGTTCCAGGGCAGAACTGCTACCCTGACTGGTTGGAAAGGCCCTTCCTGGTGATCATTTATTTTTGCTGATCCTGAGGTATGAGGAAAAGCAGGTACAGATTCTGCAGTTATTTCGGGCTCTGCGAGCATGTTCAGGTGCCCACTCAGGTCAGTGCTCTTGCCTTTATGTGTGAGAGAGATTTGTTTCCTAATCTCTTCACCCTTCCTTGAGTAGGAGCGTCCTTCAGCACCATGTTGCACGAGAGGGAGACAGAACTGGGATCTAGGTGGTCCATAAAGCACTGAGATCTTGCAGGCTGCCTCTGCTGTCTTTCACAAACACAAGCTCCTCACTCTTCTCTCCCTATTTCCTGCAAGAGCAACCACTGGATCTTAGGCTGGCCTTGGAAGCTGGTGTTTATTGTACCACGGGGCACAGCAAACACCATCTCGTCTGGTTCTCTGGACAGTCCTTCTTGGAATGAGCTGAGTGGCAACTGCAGGGCTGTGCCAGGTACTCTGGCATCTTGCCTGAGATGGGAGAGCTTGAGGCTGCTGATGCTGGGCTTGGAGCCAGGCTAACAGCTAATGCCCACTCTGAGATGACATCTCTGAAAGTTACCCAAGGGATTTCTTAAAATGAGGTATTTGGCAGGCGTAGAAGCCAAGCTCATGCTATTTTAGCCCTGGTACCTCAAGAGATGCACATATCCTTGAATAAAGCTCGAGACAGGTTTGAGATGAAGCGACCACGTGTGGCAGGTAGGACCCTATGCTGAAGTCGCAGGGCTTGCTAAGATCAGGGCCAGCTCCCCTAGGGGAGGAGCCTGGTCTCCACCGGTCCCTCCTCATCCTCAGTGCTCCCTGGAGTGACTCTCCTGGTGCTGGTGGGGATGGAAGGAGACAGAAGAGGTTAGATGGGAGTCCTCTGTGGGCCTTGTGCATAAATTCACTTTATATCTCTTTTTAATACTAGGTGCCAAAAACGGAGAGAAAAAAGAGAAGAAAAAAAGAGGCAGATGTGGTGAGTTGAGCATGTCAGACCTGTCCATTTAAAGAAATAATGTCCTCATGGCCACAATTACACCCAGTGAGAGACCTGCTAGTAAGCTGCCCCATGGTGAGATGTGGGCATCGCAGGCTGAATGTGCAGCTGCAAAAGGATGTGCTGCCACCGTGGGCAGGATGGTTTGATTTGACTGTGAGCAGCAGCATGCAAAATGACAGGCTCTGGGTCAACATTCGCCTGCAGGACAAAAACCAGTGTAGGTCGTTCTCTAAAAATGTGTTCCACAGGCCTTCATGGCTTTGAATGTGATGGTCTGGCTGCATCTCTGCTTGCAGCGGTCTTTAAAATGAGTTTAAAGGCGCTGGGAGGATAAATGAGGGAAAGGAGCACTTTGTTTCCTATTCTTCTGCTCTAAGTCTCCACTCCTGGTCATTGTCCTTGAGGAAAAACTGGACTAAACCTACCTCTGAGCTGGTAATCAGTCTGAAAAGGAATGCAAATAGCAACCTTGTTCTTAAAAGGAGGGTGTCAAAAAGACATCAACCTTTATAGAGTGTTCATCAGCCTGCCTTGCAGCAGGCTATGTGTCCAGCTCCTTTTACTCACCACTGACACCCACCCTTGCATTTTGTCCTAGGTGGAAGAGCACAACGGGCACATTTTCAAGGCCACGCAGTACAGCATCCCCACCTACTGTGAATATTGCTCCTCCTTGATCTGGATCATGGACAGGGCTTCTGTTTGTAAATGTAAGCATGGGCTGTTTGGCTTTCCACATACTTGTTTTCTCCAGCGAGAACTTTTAGACTCTGAAAGATGTTCGCTGCCGTTTCCTGCAATGGCTCAGTCACAAATACCTTGTCTTTTCACAAGGAGATCATTTTAGGGCCATCTTAAGGGTTTCTGAAGTCAACTACTAAGCTCATCATGCAGCAGCCCTGATGGCAGTTTTACTTTTGTGCTTGGGAGCTTTTCCTTACAAATCTTGTCCCTTGCCTGGACCACCTGTCAAGTGGCCTTTAAGTCACACTTGAAGTTGGATGGTGAGGGGAGCTGGTGGGACAGGAGTGACAAATGTTTCCTCCAGCTCCAGGCGGCAGAGTTCTTCTCACAGTGGGTCCTGTGACAGTGTCCCTTTGGTTTAGACCACTTGATTTCAAAACATCCAGACATTTGAGATCATGGGAATGGAACAGGGACAAGAAGACGTTGGTTTTTTTTCTTTTTTCCCCAGTTTTTGCAATATTTCCTTGAGGAGATTGGAAATACTGAACGTCTGGTATTTTAGGCTGATATCCAACACAGGAAGTGTTAAAGTGAGGTGCTATTTCCAACATCTTTGAGAGTATCCATGGCTGATAGCTCCAAGTGAATCACAGATTATTTTCCGAGTTGATGTGTCAGATCTTTCTTTTTTTTTTTTTTTTGAATTTTACAAAGATATAAATATGATGCCTTTAAAATTAAAAGGTTAATTTTTCTGTTGTTGTTTGAGCAGATGCAATACAGACTTGCCCTCGACAAATGCAAATTCTCTGTGCTTTTGACCTGCTCATCCTGAGAGGAGCTAATTTACACTTGTGCAGAGAGCTGGAATTAATTCACATTTGTACCTGAAGTTTCACATTGCTAAATACTGTTTTTTCCCCCCGTTGTTACAGTGTGTAAATATGCTTGTCACAAGAAGTGCTGTCTTAAAACCACGACCAAGTGCTCCAAAAAGGTAAGTTCCATGTCATTCCTTTTCTTGCTGTTTAGACCACAATCCTTCTCTCATTATATGTAATATAATGATAATGTATGTATTATATGTAATATGTAAAAGTGTGTAAAGTGTCCTTGCTGTGTAAAGGAAATATTTACATGCACACAAATCCATACAATTCTGGCAATAACCCTTCAGGTTGGAGTAGAGACCTTCAAGAAGTCTCTTCCAAACAATATTCTTCAATTATATGGATTTTGGTAGTAATACAGAGACTCATATCACTCGGTACCTCTTGCACCACTGTTCCCTGCTTTATAGCTGCATTAAACAGAGCTATAAACGCACTCATAGTTTCCAAAGACTTCAAAGGTGTCAGAAGATAACAGATGTGATCGAAGCCTGTGCTGTGTGCAGAGCTTGCAGGGCCCGGCGCGTGGCACGTCCTGCCCTTCCTTGGTTTGTAGTACTGCAGCTTTTGGGGCTACTCTGGGATTGGGGCATTTTTTAATGCCTATTTTTGGGCACGAAGGGATCCATGCTTTTCCACGGCATTGTTGCAACTGGTTGCGGCGTCCTCAGCCTTAGGGTTTTGCAAGCCCCGGAGCCTCTTGTTGCCACCTCCGCGTGCAAAAATAACATCTCCTCTTAACCCTGCTGGTCCCCGAGGGCCCCAAACGGAGGCGGCGGGGCGGGTGGCAGCACAGCGAGCGTGGGCAGAGGGTGGGCGCTCACCAGTGCTCCTTAGAGGGAATTAAGTGGTATTTGCCAGCTTTAAGTGTACGAACGCAAGCAAGTGCATGCAGCAGGTCATCTAGATAACAATGAATCATCAAGGCTTTTTTTTTTTCCCCCAGTTACTTATTTTGTGCTGCTTTTACCCAAAAAAAAGGCATAATAATATGCACAAAGCTTTATCAGCTCCCTAGGAGGTTTCTGGGACGTGCAACTCCCAAAAAGCCGTATGATTAGATGCTTTTCCTGAGAAATAATCTGATCTGCCTTTTGGATATTTCAATATGCTTGCTCGGAGGTTGTATTTTTGCTGCACTTTTCCCCTTCCTGACAACCATTCTATTGCATCCGTGCTGAACAGTTCAGAATGGCATCTCTGAAGCTTTGCTCTACAAATATAAAAAGTCTCAAGAACTACCTGAGCTTTTTGCAAGAAATTTTGGACATTTTGCGTCTGGGATTTGAGGCTTGAACCCCTTTTCCTCCTGTTCCCGGAGAAGAGTTCTTAGGGCTTTGTTGCTCAGGAAAACAAGAAGTTTGTCCTAAGGCCCTCGGGTCTGTGTTGGCCACCGTTCAATGACCCAGCCGTATAACAAACAGGAAGGGAATTCAGGCCAGGGAAAATTTTGCTGGAATTAAATGAGGATTCATTTATTAAATGTCAAGAAAGAGTAACTTCTGTATATCCTTGTTGATCTTTTGGTCCTTTTTCTTTGGTTACCCTTCGTGAGAAATGAAATCCTAACCCAAAATACAGCTCTAAAGAGTTGCTTGGAGGTGCTCGGAGTTTTCGTATTCCTTGGAGTTTTCCAACTCGAAAGGAAGTCATTTTGCTGTAAGCAAGGAAATGAATTTATGGTTTCTCCACATGGGCTTTTCACACAGGTGGTTTGAGGGCCTTCCATAGGAAGGCTTTGGCTTCCTCTGCACTTGATGGATTAACCTTTTTGAGGGTTGATCTTAGAAGATGGAGTGCACAGGCTGCGTCTTACGCCTTAAGAAGGGCTTTATTTTCAGGCAGCAGTCAATTTTGTATCTACTTCTTGACCTTGTCCATGAGCAGATCTGTTTCTTCAGGTTTGTGGTGGACTTGAGAGAATGCCAAGCACCTCTTGGTGGCTGCGGAATTGCCTTTGCCCTTGTGTCCTGGAGTCCCTTGATGCCAGTCCTTTTGGCCCTTTGAGTGAAACAAGGCACAGTTTTAGTGGCATTGCCTTTGATTGTAGTTTTTGCAGCCAAATAGATCCTGCGCCAAGAGGTTAAGTGATGGTAGAACAGCAGATTGTGAATTTGAACTAGAAGCTGAAACCAGATGTTCCCAAGACTCTTTCGCTGTCTGTTTTTAGCATAGAGCACTAAACAGAATGGCACTCTTCCCAGATCTCTCATGTCGATACAGTTTTCCATGGAGAAAGGATGTCCTTGAAAGTGAAAACAAGATGGAAGAGCGCTCATAAGGCGAGCATTGAGCTGTCACCTGTTCCACCACCTTCTTGCTCATTGCTGGAAGGCTTGTCGTGGCTTCCACCCCTTCACACGTGCCTGGAGACTGGTTTAAAGAGCTGCTCTTCTGGCGCAGCTCAACAGCAAGCCTGGCCTGTGGGTTGCTCTTGGACCTGGTGACAGCCCTGCAAAACGTCAGGCTGAGGTTAAACCTCTTGGGTTGACTTGGCCTTTGTTGCATGCAGTTTTATTGGCTTGACTTGCAGGTAACCCAGGCCAGCTTAGACACGTTGTGGTTTGAACAGCAGCCTGCCCCGAGCGCGATGCCGTGTCGGGCAGACGGTGCTCTTGGGGCTTTTTAAGGTGATTTCAGGGCACCTTTCCCGTTGTTTCCCTGCTAGTACGATCCGGAGCTCTCGTCGCGGCAGTTTGGCGTGGAGCTCTCGCGGCTGACCAGCGAGGAGCGCGCGGTGCCCGCGCTGGTGGAGAAGCTCATCAACTACATCGAAATGCACGGGCTCTACACCGAGGGCATCTACCGAAAGTCGGGCTCCACCAACAAGATCAAGGAGCTGCGGCAAGGGCTCGATACAGGTGAAAAAAGGGGGGAAAAAAAACCAAACAGGGACAAAATCTCCACAGCAGCAAGGTTTGATGTAAGGAGCTCAGACGAGTTCAATGGGGCCAAAGAGCTCTGCTCCCGTCCCTGAAAACACGTTGTGGAATTACAACCCATCCTTTCCCACCTCTGGCCAAATGCCAACTCTCTCTCCCGCAATAGGACCCATCTTTGTGTGATCTATTCATTCTTTTTGGGTGCAGGTGCATGAAAAAAAAAAAAGATCCTTCTCATCGAGTTAAGTCCTCCTCAGGAATCTTGTTTCCTCCCTAAAACCACTTGCCCTGAGAAAGGTATTTGTAGAGTGTGGGATTTTAATGTGTGAAGCTGAAATCAGGTGCCAGGTTTCTTGCAGCTGAATGCAGTGTGGTTTGGGGCATCCCTGTAAAGTTTTCTGTCTTGGAGGAGTAGTTTGCGCATGCACTGCCTTCCTCTGAGGCCCTGTGTTGACGGCTTGCTTTGGGGTGTTTTTGCTTGCTCTCTCCTCGCCCCGCTGCCACGTCCTGCGGCGCAGACATCGACAACGTCAACTTAGACGACTACAACATCCACGTCATTGCCAGCGTGTTCAAGCAGTGGCTCAGAGATCTACCCAACCCGCTCATGACCTTCGAATTGTACGAGGAGTTCCTGCGAGCTATGGGTAAGGCCTCCCCTTGGGCGCTGACGGCCAGGGCAGAGGGAAGCTCTAGGAGGCTGACTCCTTCCTTACGCTGCAGTCTGCTCCGCTGCTCTTGTCCCCTCTCATTTGCCCCGTTGCTGGGAGAAACACAGAATTTTTGGCCACTGTTGTTATGCAAAGCAACCTATAGACCATGCAGAGCCTTGTGTGTTTGACAGAGTGCATTTTCATCGCAGCTCAGCAGAGGCTTCAAGCCTGACAAGCAGCCAAATCATCTCTCCTCTGAGCAGTAGTATTAAGAACTTAACCCTTCCTTTAAATACCATGAGCAGGTATAAATGGGAACTTTTAATTGTGTCCGTGATGATATTTTTCAGCTGCCAGCTGTAGCAGAAGAGCCTTTAATTAAAAAAAAAAAACAGTTTAGTAGTGTCTTTGAGTATGTGAAGTGAGAGGAGGGTGATTGGAGAGGTGTGTGAGCAAGGAGAGCTGTTACCTTAGGCCGTGGGTGCTGGTTAGGTGCCAAGCTGGGCTTTGCTGGTTGTGGAGAGCTGCCTCCGCAAAGCTGGGATGGCCGAGGAGGCTCCGTCCAAGCCCTGACAGCGACGGTGTCCCCCGCAGGCCTGCAGGACAGGAAGGAGACGGTCCGGGGAGTGTATTCGGTCATCGACCAGCTGTCCCGCACCCACCTCAGCACCCTGGAGCGCCTCATCTTCCACCTCGTGAGGTTCGTCCGGCCAGCGCCAGCCTTCCTGGCAGCGCCAGCCCCTTCCTCGTGCTTGCCACAGCTTCTCCCCTCACAGAGGGACATGAATTGGAATTGCCGCCTTTGTTAATCTACTTTTTCTTTCCCTTTTTTTTCCTTCTTTTTAGGATTGCCCTCCAGGAAGAGACCAATCGAATGTCAGCTAATGCCTTGGCGATTGTGTTTGCTCCCTGTATCCTGCGCTGTCCTGATACGACGGACCCACTGCAGAGTGTTCAGGACATCAGCAAAACGACCACGTAAGAACACGGGAAATAATCCACGTCCTGGAATACTCTAGCCCTTGCTTTCTCAAAATGATGCTGAGGATTAGTATGGTCACATGGCTGCAGCGTAGGGAGCATTAACATCCTCTAGCATGGAAAACTTAAAAGCACTGTCCTGTTTTGCATGTTAAGTGGGTCTTAATGAACCATTTCATATTCCCTCTATGCTTGAGAGGTTGTTGGACAAGCCATGCTAAGTGACTGAGAATGCACAAGAGCGCATCAGCTCGTGCTCCAGAGCTTGACTATAAGGTCTCTGCAGCCACTACGTCCAACAGATCTTAGCTGGAGGCTGTGGAGCTTGTGCTGACGGAGTTTTCTAATTAGCCACGTTTATGGAAAATGGATCTTGGTTGTTACCTAATTTGGGCTTTTGAGGAGTTGATGCTCTGGATTGGCAGTTAGCACATTAATATTGCTCATTTACGTTTCTTTAAGGTATTTGACGTAATCCCAAACATTTTACGAAGAAAGGAAAGCGCTCAGCGCAGATTCAGTGTAGCACTGAATTTGATTTTAAAAGTGCCTAACTGGGGCATCTGAGATGGATTGTGGTGGGAAATCATCCAGGGAAGGATGCTCTCGTAAGGTTTTGTAGGAGGTTGCATTGCCTCCGAAGAAATGTGTTAAAATAAAGCTGTTGAAGACCCAAAAGGGCTTGGAGATCCCTGCAACAAGAGCCGTACTCATACTGTAAATCTGTACATACATTACAAATCCAATTTGGTCTTTTTGCCTTTTTTTTTCCACCCCTCAGTTGCGTGGAATTAATTGTCGTAGAGCAGATGAACAAGTACAAGGCTCGTCTCAAGGACATCAACAGCCTGGAGTTTGCTGAGAACAAAGCAAAGAGCCGGCTCTCTTTGATCCGCAGATCCATGGTAAGACCTGGGATGGCGCTGTGGCTGATCACATCTTCCTGCTGTTCCCAGAGGGTTTTCTACAGCCTCCTAGATCAGTGCCCTGGCCCCTTTTATGTGAGGTTTTGCAGCAAAGGGGCGTCAAGTGCTCCCGTGGTGTTTTTGTAGAATGGCTACGTGGGTTCATCGCATCTGTTGGGACTGAGGAGGACCTGTGTCTTCCTGCAGGGATGTCACACCGTTGCTGGGCTCTGAGCTGCCACCTCTGTTCTCTCCTGTCCTCTCCTTCCACTTAGAGTAACCCTGCCTTGTCTTCTCCTGCTTATTTCAGCCTCCCTAGCTCTTTGCACCTCCTAAACCACCTTATCCAGGACAGCCCAGAGCCTCATCCTCAGCCCTGTGATGGTTCCCAAGAGTTACACAAAAGCAGAGTCCTGCAAAGGAGTTGGCAGTGGTCAGGAGTCAGAGGAGGCACCCCAGAAACGTGGTCACCAGGGCTTACAAGCTCATGGTCACGCTCCGGGCTTTGGTTTGCAGACCTGAGCGCACTGGCCCTGGGTTGAAGCGCCCCTTCTCCGCCCTGCTAATGAGCAGCTCCATCCATCAGCGGGCAGCGCTGAGCCCTCGGCATGGCCCCACCAGCCACACGCAAGCGCCAGGGACACCCGGGCCCGAGCTGCCTGTGCCAGGGTCTTGCTTGGGCTCCCTCTTGGTGCAGCTTAGCTCGTGAATGTCCTCCCCAGCGCATGGGAAAATTTGGCTCCCCAACGTTGTCACTTCCCTGCAGCTCCGAACCATCCCACCGAGCCATGACGCTTCCAGGGGGGCCGGGGATGGAGGGGCCACGTTGGGGCTGCCCTGCCGCGAGCCCAGCAAGCTGCAGCACCCGCTGCGTCCGCCTGGCTGCCAAGAAGGGCCCGCAGCCTCTCCCTTCGGAAAGGCCCTGCCGCCCGCATGGCCCGTGGGACCGGGGGGCTCTGCTTTGGGGACCACAAGCAGCGCGAGCTCCGAGTTCCCGGAGTCCTTTGCCAAGCTTGGGGCTTGGCGCTGGCGCAGCAGCGCGCGGTGCCGCCGCGGAGAGCGCGGCCCCCGAGAGCGGCTCTGTGCAGGCGGCGCCGGCATGTGCACTCTAACCTTCTGCTTTCCTTTTCATGTCCTCTCTAATCCAGAAACCCGTACTAATTGCAGTTAGATTTATGAGCATAACCCGCAATTCGATCCCGGTATGTATCCGCTGCCTCGCGCTCTGTGCCAGCCGCATCCCTCCACTCATTGTGTGTGACCTCCGCTCATCCCAGCCCCGCGCCGCCGGCATTGTCCGTGACCTTGTCCCCAGGCGGCTGCCTCTCTGCCGACTGGCCAGGGCCCCTCTCTGCCAGGGAATAGGGATTTGTGCCGGATGGCCGCGCTGCAGCCCTGCATGCAGCTCCTTCTCCCGGTGGGATGTCCCAGCTTTTGCTCCGAGACCTCTCCTGGTCACAGCAGAGCCTCTTCGCTAGTCTCTAATCTTACTTGGGTTGAGTGCCGTTCCCCTTGTGTCTTTTTGCATCCCCATTCTCTCCCTCATCACCTTCATGTTTCTTTTTCTTCCCCTGTTCCATGCTTCCCTACTTTCTGCCTTCCTTGCCCTATCCCTCCCTGTTTCTCCCTGACCTCTGTCTTCTTTTACTGCTGCTGCCCAGGACATACCAAGGCAGAGCAGATGTCGAGGGCGAGGGAGAAATGTCTTTGACGCCAATGGGTGAATGGGCAGCACCAGATTTCAGCCCGTGGCACTTCTCCTGTCCTGTTTTCACTCAGTGGTGACAGGGATTGGAGGCAGATAAGATCAGAATTTGAGCTGTGCTGCTGGCACAGTCCCTGCTGCTGTTTTTCAAGCCTAACAGCTGAGGAACTTTTGGAGTGAGCCCTAGTTCTTGTCCTGGTAAAATCCGCCAGAAAGGTGCTGCTTTATTTGCCTTTCTCATTCGGGGCCACGTGAGCGCTGGGCTGATGCAGGTGAGCAGACAGCAGAGCCGTGAGCACAGGCCTCTCTGCAGAGAGCGGGAGATCTTCCACTAATAGCACCCAGGAACGGAGTGGGGTCACCTGCAGGCAGGATGACCTGGGCCGTGAGGTGCAATGCAGCAAACGCTGCCGCTCGCAGCTCCTGGGCGAGTCGGGAGCACGGAGGAGGCAGCGGGTCCCGCGGGAGGGAGCGTTGCCTCTCGGACGGGCTACATCCCGCTGACAGGCGGGAGGGATGTCCGGTTAGCCGGGCGTGGGGGAAAGTTGAGGGCTCAGAGAACTCTCCAACGCACGGAGGAGCTAGGAGCTGGAAACGAGGTCCAGGCACGCTGCATTAGGAGCAAAGCTGATGTTCTAACAAAGGTGTTGACTTTGTGATGGGAGGAAAATAATAGCGTTTCCACGTTGCTACGTTAAATCTCCCCCATTCGGTGAAAGGCACATGAAGGGACCTCCATGCTCCTGGCCTTGAGCACTGCTGCTGTGTTGTCCCTCAGCGCAGCGGCAGTCGCTAGTGCTCCTGTCAGGAGGCCGCTTGAGCCTTGGGAGCTCCTTCCAGCCTCCCTAGGAAGGGAGTCAGTTCTCCTGCATGCTCCATACCTGTCTCAGCCCGTGTTAGGTGCTGATGCTGGATGCCCTGGCCTGCTTTCTCTGCATCCCAGCAGGCTGGAGGCACAATCTGCTGGAAGTCCTGTGTTGGATTGAGCTCTTGCCTCTCTGAAGGACGCTTCAAGCTGTGTCCCTTGAGCGTTTGCTGCTGCTTCTCCCCAGCTGTCCCTTGCTGGAGAGCCTGGGCAGCTCGGCGCCCTGCATGCCCGCGTCTTGTCCGTGCTCTCCTCGTGCGGAGCCAGTGTCGCCGGGCGGGCTGGGCTTCCAAACACATCCCGTCGTGTCGTGGAGTTTTGAAGTTCCACTTGCATGTGGTTGTCTGGGTACATGGGCTTCATCTCCATCTCCCGGGCTGTCCTTGAGACTGTTTCTAGTGTGTGCCCCAACCCGGTGTGAATATTGGGGTGCCGACACACCGAGCGTGCCGAGGAACGATGGAGAGGTGGTCTTCTCCGCTCCTTGGCGAGTGGAGGACACTGGCAACGCCGTCATCACCAGAGACGGGTCGCGCAGTCCCCGACAGGCGTGCAGAATAGCAGGTCCCTGACACCGGTGTTTGTCCTCAGGGCAAAGGCCGCATACGGCGCGGCACCTACCCCAGCCCCACGTCTCCCGTCGCCGTGCGCCTGCCCTCGGTGTCCGACGTCCCCGAGGAGACCATGAGCAGCGAGGAGGCCATGGAGATGGACGTCACGGAGCAGCAGCAAGCGGCCATGCAGCAGGAGGAGAGAGTGCTCACAGAGCAGATTGAGAGCTTGCAGAAGGAGAAGTGAGTCGCAAAGGGCAGAGGGTGGAAGGAGCCAAGATAACCGCGTGAGATGGGGCCGCTCCCCTGAGCTTGAATCCAAGCAAGCTCATTTCATCCTCTTTCTGGTCCCTGCCTTGGGTCCTCTCTGATCCCCGGGGCTTTCTTTTTGCAGGGAGGAGCTGACGTTCGAGATGCTGACGCTGGAGCCGCGGGCCTCCGACGACGAAACTCTCGAGTCCGAAGCCTCTATTGGCACCGCCGACAGCTCCGAAAATCTGAACTTTGACTCTGAAGGAGGCGTCTCCGACCGCTCAGGTAAACGCGAAGCGTGGCTCCCCCGGGCGCGTTTGGGTTAGATCACTCCTCCATGAAGCTGCTGTTGCCCATTGCGATGGCAGCGGGGTTTGGCGCGACACGCTGGGCTCCCTCTGCCTCTTTTATATAATGTTTTAAAGATATTTTAGGTATTGGCTTTAACAGCCTGCGCACCGTGTGGTGCATTATGCCCAGGTAATTCTCTCCCCACAGAGAGAAGTTTGGCCCTGGGACCCCCGCGCCCCAGCAAGCCGGAGGCCGCCGGCCGCCTGCGGAGGCACCCGCGGAAGCAGCCGGAGCCCCCGGAGGCGCCCGACGGGGCCCCGGCACCCTCGGCACCGGCCTCCACCTCCTGCCTGCCCCACCTGCCCCGCAAGCGCTTCCAGATGTACTCCAAGTCCCCCTTCTACCGGGCGGCCGAGGCCAGGGCCGGCCTCGAGGGGCCCGACGAGCGGCCCCAGTTCACCACGCGGGGCACCTTCAACCCCGAGAAGGGCAAGCAGAAGCTGAAGAACGTCAGGAGCTCCCCGCAGCGGGCGCGCGAGGCGCCCGGCGCCGACGCCGAGTGCGCGGCCGCCGCGCAGCAGCAGCAGCAGCAGCAGCTGGTGCTTTTCGGCAGCAACGAGTTCATGGTGTGAGGCGCTCGGAGCCGAGGAGCAGCGCTGGCCCTAGGCGGGCTCGTAGGGTTTGGACATCGAGCCCCCTCCCCGCTGCGCCGCCGGAATTCCGGGGCAGCTCTCACCTCCGCCCGGCCGCCGCTTTGGGGGATTTTGTGGGATTTTGGGTTGTTTTTCGCTCCGTGAACTCTTGAGGAGGCCCCCAGTGGACCAAGCCCTTCTTGCCTGCCATTATATGATGCTCTCCACGGCGCAACCCCCCTTGCCCGGTAAGGAGCCCGGCGCAGAGCCCTCTCGCCACAGTGGGAAGAGCGGACAGATATTTATTCCAGGGAAAGAGGGAAGGAATTTTTTCACCGCCAGCCATCAGGGAAAGGAGGAAAAGGAAAAAGAAACCAAGGCCGCTGCTTAGCCCAAAGCCAAAGTCTGCGCCCGGGTGCCGACAGCCATAGCTGGGCGCCAGCGCCGCGGCGCGGAGGAAGCCACGGCGGAAGGGTCTCCGTTGGCAGCACGCCGCTGGCGGAGCTGGAAGGAAAGGCGTGGGAAGGCGGTAGGGAAAAGCTGCCCAAAGTCACCCTCACCGTGTTGACCTAACCAACGTCTCTCTTTTGAAGACCATCAGTATTAAAAGATTAATAATAATAATAATAATGGTAATAATTGAGGACTACTTGAAGCTATATTTGTTTATATTCTGGTTACTGAAGTTCATTGTAAATATATTTTTTTATACTTTTTTTTTTTTTTAACTCATTTTTCCACCCACCTGCCTCCCACCCCTCGTTTTTGCCAGGGCAGAAGGTCACTCGAGGGAAAAGCCACAGGGCCATTTCTCAATGGCAACGCGTCAAAAATACATATATAAACATACATTTTAAGAGAAATCTATAGAACTACGATTAACCCGGCTTAGAAGCGGTGTGAGTAATTATGAGCTAATGACTCGGTGCCTGTAATCCTTGCCCGGTGGCTTCCTCCGTCAGCACCCGTGCCGAGGCCGCCGAGCGGGTCCCGCTCCCTCGGGAGGCAGGAGAAGGGAGGAGCCCCGTGGGGGTGGCCGCACTGCGACGTGCCGCCCGTCACCTCGCCCTTAGCTCGGGCGTTCGCTCCTGCGCGCCAAGGCTGGGGCCAAACCTTGAGTCTTCCTCGGATATCCCTCAATTTTGCATCCCGACGCTTGGGGCTGGATTTAGGCCGTGGTGCCGAGCTCGAGTGCTGGCGTTATCCAGCTTCCCACCAAGCCCCAGCCTGCCCAGACCTGGACGTGGCTTTTCTCTCCCTGTCGTTCAGCCCCGATCCTTCCTGCCTGAACTGCCTTTTTTCTTTTTCTTTTCCTTTTCCGCTATTTTTTTGCCAGGATCGAGAGGCGCTTGAAGCGGCGTCGCAGGCAGTGCTGGCGCGGGAGCCTCCTGCGGGCTGCGCGCGTCTGAGCGCCCCGAGCCTCCTCCGCTGCAGAGACGGTCTGGACGGGCTTCAGGCCTGGATCCAGAACTCCAGGCAAGGTGGGAAGTGGTTATGAAGGCGGAAAATCCCCCGGGAACCCCTCCCGGCCCCGCAAATCCCTCCAGGAGGGGCTGGGAAAGGAGCCGGCACCGCAGCCGAGCGGAGCTGGCGGCGCTGCCGCCCGGGGCGGATGCGGGGCCGCCTCGGCAGCTCTGCACCCGCAGCGCGCGCCGGGCGCCCCGCTCCTGCAGGGCGCGGTGGAAAGCAATGTATACGTACACACACGTATGTATATATGCCTATGTGTGTGCATACATATGTGTGCGTGTAGAAAGAGAGGTATTTTAGGGCTGTTTCTGTGTCAGTGTCTCGCCGTACGTTGCGCCCCGCTTCTGCCAAGCAGCTGCTCTGGCAGGTGTCCCCTTTCCGGCCGGGCGAAGACGCCACCTCGGGAGCGGGGCCAGGCGGGAGCATCCCGAGCCGTGAGGACGGGCGCGGATCCGCGCTCATCCCAGGCCGGAGCGAGCGGGCAGCGCCGGGCGCTGCAGGAAGAGCCCCAGCTTCCCCCCCTTTCCCAACCCAAGAGCTTCCAGCCAGAAACTTCCCCTCCTCCTATTTTCCTTCATCCTGCCTTTCCGATTTCTTTTTTAATTATTATTTTTATATTTTTTTCTCTTGTGGAGGGAATGGCGGGGGGGAAAAGCAGATGGTTTCAGCAGGGCGACCCGGAGTCTCGTTCCCGTCCACGGCGAGTCGGAGGCTGCCGGCTGCTCCCGCGGGCAGCGGGAAAGCCGGGAGGTTTCGAGGGAGCCGCTGGGCTCCTYGTACACAGTGAATGTACTTACTACTGGAAAGGACACGTGGGCTGCGTATGGTTAATTATTATTTTTATGGGGGAAGAAATTTTTTTAAAAAGTAATTTATAAGTATGCTGAGTGTAAATTAAAAAAAGAAAAAAGCTATGTATTGTAAGAGGATATATTATCCTGTGTCATACTCGCTATAAAATTTACCTGTTTAAAAAAAAAAAAGAAAAAGGAAAAAAAAAAAAAGAAAATGGTAATTATATAAAGGAGAATGATTTATCCTGCCCCCCGGGCCGCGTGGGGTGCAGTCACACAGCCAGCTGGCAAGCTGTTACCGTCGTGTCCGCCGGGTCTCTTTAATTTGGGGGGAATTAATGTTATTTTTCTTTCCTTTCTGGACTAAGGCCGTCGTCTGTATAAAAGTGCAATTTGTGTCCGCTGTCCCACGCGTTTGCTGTATGGCTGTACAGAGCGCCGCGAGGAGCCCGCGATCCCCTACGCGCATTAAAGGAGGACGTGGCGCCGAGTGCTGTGTTTGCTGGGGCCACGGTGGGGCCGGGGCCGGCGCGGGGGTCTCGCGGGGACGCCCGAGCGCTGCGGTGCTGCCGCCAGGACCGGGGCCTTTGGCAGCGGCTCCTGCAGCTCCTCCGCTCCCCGGCGCGGGCGGGCGGCCACCGGCAGGTGGGTGGCTCCGGTGGTGGCCGCAGGAGCTGCAGCTGCATCCAYGGGGCACCTCCGGGCCGGGGCGCCCCTCGCTGCGACGGCCTGGGCTGAGCAGCGAGATGCGGCGGTCCCCAATGGGGCGCTGCAAGTGGGACGTCCCGGCGCTGCTRGGACCCCCGGGCCGCCGTGTCCGGTGCCTCTGTGGCCCCTCTTCCCCCCCAGCCTGCGACGAGGACCAGGCAGCRACCTGCAAGAACCGGCTTTGTGCCGCGGACGAGCCCGCCGAGAGCCCGGCCGCCAGGAGCTGGGGCCCGGCGGTTCCCCCTCCACTTGCCCCCTGGCCGTGGGGCACAGGGATTGCGGCCCTGCTGGACCCCCATCCTTGGGGGGCACAAGGACCCTGTGGCTGCTGGTCCTGAGGAGAAGGCAGTTTGGGCTCGGGGGCTGGTGGCGATGCTTGCAATGCCCTGATGGCCTTTGCCCACCAGGACCAGGGGACCCACGGGGCGCCCAGGGCCGGGAGCTGGAGACAAGGCCTCTTGGAGCAGGGATGGAGCAGCTCCGCTGGGAATGCGGCAGGGAAGGCGCTGCTGTTCCCCAGCGCTGCCCGAGCACCAGCACCTTTCCCGCWGGCTGCCCCTCCCGGGATGGATGTCAGGATCCATGAGCCCTGTGGCAACAGCAGGACTAAGTCCCCGCAGGGATGATCCTGAAAGCCAAAACGCTATTGCTGGCTCGTGGCAGCTGCCAGGGAATCCGGTTCGGGAGCGCGCCGCGGCGCCGGAGGCTCCCGCAGCGGCACCGGAGGCTCCCGCAGCGGCGCGGGGTCAGTTCTTGAACATGTCGCAGAGCAGCTTCTCCATGGGGGTGTTGCCGATGGTGCGGCGGAAGAAGAGGAGCTCCACGCGCTCGGAGGAGATGAAGCGCAGGGCCGGCAGCAGCAGCAGCAGCTTGCCGAACCTGGGGAGGGCGAGCGGCACCCGTGGGCTCCCCCCGTGCCGCTGGGTGCCAGGGTGCTGCCCGAGGGTGCTGAGGGGGACCCGTGGCGCTACCTGACGGGCTGCCCGGGGTAGTGGGTCCGGTTGTGCTGGCCCAGCATCACCTGGGACTGGTCCTGCAGGTTCTCCACCTGCTCGGGGTCCTTCAGGCCGCGGGTCTCTGTGGGCAGAGGGCGGGTGTGGGGGCGGTCGGGGGCCGGCGCCGGGAGCCCCCGGCCGGGGCCGCCCAGCTCACCTGGCTTGAAGAGCACCACGGCCTTCATGCAGGCGAACTCGGTGGGGTCGACGGCCAGCGCCTTGAAGCGGGTGAGGGTCTCCTGCAGCGCGCGCACGTCCACGGGGGCGGGCAGCAGCTTGCCGGGCGCGCCGGGCGCCAGCTCGGGCACGGCCAGCAGCGGGCAGCTYTCCAGGGGCATGGACCACTGGATGGCACAGAGCAGGAACAGCTCGCTCCAGGCTTCCTCCAGCAAGATCACCTGCAGGCACCACGTCAGCCCCGGCCGGGGGCACCAGCTCCCCCCGTCTGGCTCCCCATCTGACCAGAGCACTCCTGGAGAAGGATGTTCCCCACCAACAGCATCCCCAGAGGGACATTTCCCATGTGGCACTGATGGCACCCCAGAGCCATCTATCTGGTCAGCTCTGGTGCCCAACACCACAAGGTGTGATGAATCTTCCCCCTCCCATTGCTTCTTTTCCCCGCATCCCCTGGGAACTCCCCTTCCCTGGCAGCCTGGGGGTGCCCATGGGTACCCGTGGATCTGCACCCAGAACCCCGGTCCCACCTGGTCACGGAAGGGCAGGTTGGAGAAGACCGGGAGGTTCTTGGCCCACTTGACGGCCATGAAGAGGAGACGGGCCGAGGTCTCGTAGACGTTTTCGGGGCTGCCCGCCGGGTAGGGCGCGAGCTGGTACTCGCCGGCAGCGCGCTCGGGCTCGCTGCCCGTCACATCGACGGTCTCATCGGCTGCACAAAAGCCAGGGCCGCTCACCCGTGGTGCCCCCGCGGCGCGGCACCCGCCACCCGCCGCGAGCGGCCRCGCACCGTCCTCGGGCTCCAGCTTGGCGCAGGTCTCGGCCGTCATGAGGCTGGCCATGAAGCGGTGGTTGGGGGGCGGCGTGGGCGGCCGGGGCGCGGGGGCGATGCCCAAAGCGCCCCCCGGCCCCGCTCAGCCCGGGCCGCCTGCCCTCCATCCGCTCCCGGGACCTCACGCTGGGCGGCGTGAAGAAGGCAAGCGCCCGGGGGGCAAGCGGCTGGGGAGGGGGCACCGGGGGGCTGTGCAGGGCCCCCTTCGGGCTGCACCTGCTTGGGGGTGCCTGGGGCGCTCCCCGCTGCCGGGGCGCGGGCGGCTCCGCGCGGGATGCGGCAGGACGCGGCCGCCAACACCCGCGCGGCGCGGGCAGCAATGCGGCCCGACGGGTTTGCGTCCTGTGCCCGGGCACGCCGCNCCCCGCTGCTCGGCGGGCAGCTCGGTGTCCAGCTCGATGCTGTCCAGGCGCACCTGGGCTGTGCTGCGGGGCTGCCGCTCGTTCTGCACGGCTGCGGGCGGGCGTGCGCGCGCGGGGACACGGTGAGCGCCCCGCGCGGCCCCGCCGCCGCCGCCCGCTGCCACCGCCCCCGCTCACCGTCCTTGTTCATGCCCGCTTGCAGGCACTTCTTCAGCCTGCACGCCTGGCACTGGTTGCGGTGCGCCTTGTCCACYGGGCACAGCCCCGTCCCCGCCTGGCACCTGCGGCCGAGCAGAGGTGGCACCCGCTGCACCCCCTGTGAGTGCCCAGTCCCCACCAGCGGTGTCCTCCCCTCCCCATGGGTGCCCTGATGGGCAGCCTGTCTCAGGGTGCTGCGTCCCATCGGGGTGCCCTGCTCTGATGGGTGTCCTGCCCCCCAAGGGTGCTCTGCCCTGATGGGTGTCCTCCYGTCATCAGCACCCCGTCTGAACAACTGCTTGCCCTGGTGGACATGCTGTCCCCACACCGGGTGCCTGTCCCCCATGGGGACCCTGAGCCCAGCATGCCCTGTCCCCCCATAGGTGCCCTCTCCTCCCACCCCCCCATATGTTCCCTGCCGCCACCGGGCACCCCATTCCCCAGTGACTGCTTTGCCCCACTGGGTCCCCTAACCACGTGGGCACCATCTCCCCCCATCGCTGCCTGTCCCCAAGCCCCGTGTCCCGCCGCGCTCCCCGGAGCACCCCGTTCCCYGGCAGCCCCGCCGGCGCCCACCTGTAGATGAGTTTCCTCCGCACGCTGCGCTTGAAGAAGCCGCTGCAGCCGTTGCAGGCGTAGATGCCGTAGTGCTTCCCGCTGCTCGTGTCCCCGCACACCTTGCACAGCAGCACGGGGCTCAGCGCCTTGCCGGGCGCCGGGCTCAGCCCTGCGGGAGCGGAGCGGGGACACTCGCGGTCACTCGGATCCCCCAGGACCGCGCAGCATCCTGCTCACGGCGTGGGCATCACCCGGCCACCTCTGAGGCTCCCTGTGCCTCGGGTGACCAGCAGGACCTGGCTGGCTCTGGAGGTGCCCTGGGCGCATCCCTGYGGCTGCCCAGGTGCCCTGGAGAAGGACGTGGGACCGTGGTGCCCCATGGAAGGGCTGCAGCTGGGGACTGCGAGTGCCCATGGGGAGCTCCCCATGGCCAAGGAGCCCAGTGTCCCAGCGCGGGGCTGCGGCTGGGGATCACAGTCACCCTGGCGGGGGTCAGCACGCAGGGAGCGCGGGTGTCCTGGAGAAGGACTGTGGCCACCGCGGATATCCCAGCCGGAGCCCAGCCGCATCCCAGAGAAGTGCTGGGGACAGGGGCCTCCCGGTGAGGTGCCACGRCCGGGACTATGGGCATCCCAGGCAAGTGTCGTGGCTAGAGACCACGGGCATCCTGGAGAAGCACCATGGCCAGAGAGCATGGGCGTCCTGGAGGATGGGCACCACGGGCACCCTGCAGGAGTGCCATGGCCAGAGAGCCTGGGTCCCCAGGGAAGCACCACGGATGGGACACCCTGGAGAAGCCCGTGGCGCCCCGTGGGCACGCCGCTGCTTACCCGAGGAGCCGTCCTCCAGCCCGGCGCTCACCACGGACCCGGCGGGCGACGCGGCCATGGCGGGCGCGGCGCCCCGGCCGCCTCCGCGG